AGAATGTTGCATTAATGATTACCTTAGGATCTACATGCATTTATGATAGAACGCTCGCTCCGTGGTCGGGAGGTCATGAGTTCGAATCTCGGCCGCGACTTACCTTAGTCGATAAAAAATGGGTAGCAACTGTTCCTTCGCCATGCGCTCGGCACTTTGAAGTGAAAGTTGCGGGTCCTTCGGATGAGACCTTAAAAACCGAGGTCCCGTGTCACGGCAGGCGTTGGCACGATAAAGATCCCTCACTGCTCAATGGCCGTAAGTGCCGAGCAAAGGTCAAAATTTGAAGCCCTTCACCGGTATATGGTGACGTCTCTATATGAGTGAAAAATTCTCGAATGGGACGTAAAACAACATGCAATCAATCATATTTCATTAGTGGACAGATTTGTAATAAATATATCATTAGTGGATGCTATGTTATCCTCAGATGCTTCATCATATCATAATTGATTTTATATCATATGTAGCTGCTGAACTGTAGTGTTACAGTTTTATATTTTAGTCTTTGACCATAACGCTAATATAATGCAAATATGGTGCAATTTAGGCGGAAGATTTTCTGCGCATGGTTGGGGATGTATTTCTCCACTTTCCAGCATTGGTCAATCAAGTAACTTTCATTCCCTAATTCTTGACATATTCTATTATCAACCTTTATATTTTATCCACATTCCAACAGTTTGCCTGCAAGATGCCCAGGAGCAGAGAAGATGATTTTCAAAGAAATAATGCATTTTCACCATACATTCAACATGGGCCAACCCTAACATTAGAACCCTTGACCCAGGGGCCAAGAAATTCACAAGAGGCATTCTTGCTCATCATAACCAGGCACTTAGTTTGTTTGCTTAATACCTAGGGGCTGAGAATTTTCAAAGAAATGATGCATTGTTACTATATATTCAAAAGAGCCCCGCCCTTACACGAAAAACCCTGACCCAGGCGTAATGAATTTACACTTCTTGAAAAGGCATCAATGCTTATCATAACCATGCACTTAGTTTATCTGCTAAATACCCCAGAGCAGAGAAGAAATGTTCAAAGAATTAATGCATTTTCGGTATATAATCCAGCCTTAAAACTACAACCCCTGACCCGGGGGCCATGAAATTCACAATTTTTGAAGAGGAACCATTGTTCATCATAACTATGCGCTTGGTTTGCTTGTTAAGTGCCCAGGAGCAGAGAAGAAGATTTTCAAAGAAATAACTTAATGTACTTCTACTATAATCAATAGCCCCCCCCCCCCCCCCCCACCGCAGAACCTCTCACTTTAGGGCCTAAAATTTCACAATATTGAAAGAGGCACCCTTGATCAACATAACCATGCACCTAGTTAATCTGCTTTAAATACAGAGGGAAAGAATAAGATTTTTAAAGATTCTATGCATTTTCTTTATATGATCATTAGAGCCCCATCTTAACTACAGAACCCCTGACCCTGGGGCATAAAAGTGTTAGTCTTTCCCTCATTCTGTCAATAACCAATTTTTCCGGTTTTCCTCTGAGTTATGATCAATGTACCTCGGCGTTTAGAATTATCAAAAATCAGTTGATTAAGTTTTAGTTTTGGTGAAATATATTTTTTGTAGATAATATATAGTTTTTCTCCGATTAATTGAAGAAGTAAAGAAACGATGGGAGTAGTGGTATTTCAATTTGTGTGGACTCTTGCTTCATAGATTTTAAATGCTTATGTATTATTATAGTAATAAAATGGCTCCAAAATTTTATACATGAGTATACAAAAACAAAGGTCTAACAATTAGTATGAAATGTATCATCAAAATACGACCCAATGATAGGTCATATTGCGTAACAAGGTCATTATAACGACAACAGAATTTACGAAATGCTGACTTTAATCAAGGTTATTGAAATTCCTGTAACTGAAAAATATACTCCTGTCTATGAAGGTTGTCTACCAAAATCTACAAGGAGCATTATTAGTTTTACAGTGTATACCGAGTACTTCCTTTATAAAAGTAACATGCGTAATGTGAATTTTTTTTTCTATAATTACAGAATTTTCATCCGTATTATTCATGTTATTATAAAAACCTCAATTTTCACATCAATGAACTGATGTTACAATCAATAGATATGAAGCCATTACTAAGGAAATACAGATGGATCGGCTACGTCTTAAGAAAGCCAACAAATGACAAAACGAGAGTGGCACTCAGATGGACTCTAAAAGGGAAAAGGAGGAAAGGTTGACCAAAAACAACTTGGAGGCGAACAGTTGAGCAAGAACTCAGAGACATGGAATTTCCTTGGGGAGAGATGGAGAAAATAGCTCAAGATAGAGCAAAGTGTTAATCCCTTGTCCTTGCCCTTTGTGTCTCCGGGTGCAGCAAGGACTATGTACAGGTAGGTAGGTGTTACAACAGTCAAAAAGTTTTGCTTTTTAAGGTAACACGGACAGCATAACCAATAGTTTTATGAATCTTAGTTAAAATAGGCTTTTCTGACCTTTTCCGTGAGAACTGTCATAACGTTGTTGAGCTCTAATATGTATTTTTTGAAAATAATGTATGTTGACAATATAAACGTTTTGGCTCATTGAGTTATTTGCAATAATCGCCCTTTCAACTGACACTCATTTTTAAGGAATGACTGTCTAGTTTTTCGGTTAAAATTACATGATCAAAAAGTTTGCTCACATGATAATTTGCGTTTTTGCATAAAATTATCATGAGAACAAACTGTTTGATCATCATCATAAAACAAAAAACAAACAAACAAACAAAAAACAGGACAAAACAAACAAAAAAGTTTTTCCTTATATTTAAATTTTTACCTGGTCTTTGATTAAATAACCAAAAAATAAGATATCTGCGTTATTTTTATTCAATAATTAGAAATTTAAGACTTGTCTACAAGCCCCGTCCAAAATGTAAATACAAGTAAGTAATTACTAGCAGCCAGAAGGCAGTTCCGTCACGTGATGAGTAAAAGGCTTGATGAAAATATAAAGCTTTTCCCCTTATTTGTAGTTTTATCTCAGAAAATTGAAAATTTTAAATGTGTATGGAACAAAAAGAATTTTGAGACTTTGAAGCTTTTGGAAGTTACGTGTTTACATATTGATCCAAAAAAGATCAAAACTCAAAATTTTGTCCTACCTTCACTATTTTGACAGAGCTGCGCTAGTAGATATGACTAACATCGACTTGCAAATGCATAATGTTGTTGTTTTGCAGTGTTGTGAATGAAATAAGGGGTCTCCAAGGTAGATTTACATGTATGTTAGTCATATCCTCAGAGGAGAAGTCTTTGTATAAGCTGATACAAAAACTGGTTATAATTATCTCTGAATCTACATTGTAGATTCTTTTCTGAACTATACAATGTAGACTCTTAGTACTGCATAAAAATAAATAGCTTTAAAACTAAAAATCACAGAGTTTAAAAAAATATATTTATTGACTTCCAATTCACAATACTGATATATCATATCACAGATAAGCAAAATCACAAAAAACTAATAACCGGGAATGCATATATGTATGAGTATAAAATATAAGATGACAAAAATTACACATTCAAGAAATATTTTTATATAAATTATGGATGTATTCTTCTGATGTGTCAGTCATTTTTACTATTCTTCTCTCCATCAAAATAAGCATATTTTTTAAATTTGCCCACTAATTAACAACAACCCCAACCTTTGATTCTTTGTAATTTTGAAATCTTTAAAAAAAAATATTTTAAAAAATTCAATTCTAAATCATTTGTTTTCAAAGACGACTTCATTCAAGTCAAAGAAAAAGCCAAAGAAATCTGGTTTCTTGCAATATTTTCAATGCCTTATATCTCAAAAACCTGATCACTAACTCATCTTTTTTCTTTGTTTCAAAAAATGAATACTTAGTACATCAAATTGAAATAAAAACTGAAAAGTTGAATTTAATTTATCTCTGCAGAGTACACGTATTTCCATAAAGGAGAATGACCTTCTGCTCACTATTTTGTTATGATGACAATTTTCGGACGGAAGAACGAGAAGATGGAGATGTATATTTAAGGAATCACTGTCTAGTTAGTAGAGTATGCCAGGGCATCAACGATAGTTGGAAACGTGGGATAATTTGCATAACGGGCAAAGCCCGTTATGCATAAATTATCCCACGTTTCCAACTATCGTTGATGTCCCTGGCATACTCTACTAACTAGACAGTGATTCCTTATATTTCCATTTCATTGTGAAATAAAATTGTAAATTTAGATTTTAAAAATGTAGATTAATAGATTTAAATTACATGAGGCCTCACATGTCAATTTCAATAGTCCCCGCCCACTGACGTCAAACACAAAGACAGCCGCACGAGATTTACATGCATATTAGGCCTCCTTAGAGTCAGACACAAAGACAGCCGCACGAGAATTACATGCATATATTAGGCCTTCTTAGCTCCTGACATTTCGCTTGGCGAAATTTGCATTCGAGTGGAATGATCAAGAAATCAACTCTCCTAACTTTCAAAGAGTTATCACAGAGAAAACAAATCGAAATGGAAATATATAATATATAATAATATATATAAAATTAAGGCAAATTTGGCATAATATACAGAGCCAATTTTGAGACAAATCATTGAAGATGAAAATTTTATAAGGATTGAAAGTTTTACAAAGGAAACATGGCAGTTTATCAATGTAAGTGTAATCTTTCTAGGCAGAGGGTCGTTTTTCCTGAATCATGTTTTTTATCCTATCCTGGAAAAGAGGTGCATCACATTTTCTATTTTAGAAAAGAGGTGCATCACATGTTTTCTATCCTAGGAAAGAGGGGCATCACACATTTCCTATCAAGGGACAGTCGTATCTCAACTTTGCTGATTAAGTTGAACATAAATCCTAATACACAGAAACAATCAAATTGCACAAAAGAAGTAAAAGCAAAAAAAATATTATGCATACTAATGTTAATGATTTCAATTAAAACAAATCACAGCAAACATATATTCTTTTTAAATTTAAATTGAACTACATGTACTGTTAAACAGTGGTATCTATTAAAAAGCTTCAATATAAAAATCTTAAGGTGCAACAAGACTTGGAAGTCTTAAAAGCTATTGCTCAATGCATTGAAAGTAAATGAATTAAGTGTCCTGGATTTTTGTGTGTTGAGCTAGGAGAGATCTTTTTCCTCAGGTGAACAGAACTACATGACAACACAGACTCTGGATTTCTTGTCCTTTTCCTCCTGTGTTCTCCTCTCAAATAAGTCCTCCTGTTTCTGGAGCCTTTCCTCCAATCTTCTTATTTCTTTCTGGTGTTTCTGATGAGGAAATTTAATCAGAAATCAAATTTTAATTGTAATTGCATGCCTTTTACTTCCAGCATTGGACATTTTAGTGGATTGAAATGCCTTTTAGCAGAAAAAAAGTGGACGTTTAAGCAGAAAATTTATGGATATTTTAGCAGAAAATTTATAGGACATTTGAAATTAAAATAGGATGTGGACATTTTAGCAGAAGATTTATTGGATACTCTAAATAAATTAAAGTAGGATGTGGACAGTCAGAAACACAGTATATTTACAGTGTTTACATCTCTGCTTAATATTTCTATCTGAAAAAAGGCTTACAATGTTTCCAGTTGATTAATTAACTGTTCTCATTATTTGTATCTGTATTTGGATTTACCTGAATTGACCACTCCTGAATCTCTGGGACAGTCAGTGATTGCACCCCTCCATCCCTCCTCAAGAAAACTCCATGGGGAGAATGATACAATCGGTCTATATCCCCTGTGCCATGGACTATTATTTCTATTACTTTATAATCCTCTGTAATTGTCAAATTTTAGCTCTGTTACTTTCTGCATGCATATGAACATTTTGAGATTAAACAAATGCTGGTACAACTTATTAAGTCTATACTTTCATTGCAACCTTTCAGATATGGATTGTAATATGTTAGCATACATGTAATTTGTTACTAATAATAAACATATTTTTTCCAAGATAAAATTCTTTTTATTCTCTCTCAAAAAATAAAAACAAAGTACAGTATTTGTGGCTTAATATCTAAACCAATTAAAGCCACAGAATACTTTTCTTTTATTATAAAGGTAATGTCATACCTTTGGGGACTCCTAATTTATAGAACACAGGTGTGAACTTGACTTCGTAGATGTTTGGGAACACAGGAGGAATGATAGTTTTTATTGCTTCATCAATGTCCAACCTTACCCCATCCTCTCTGGCCTGTTGGCAAGGGATTCCCTCAACACACCCTAAAAGGGAAAATGTGTGGATAATAATTTAGTTTGAGCCATTAATTAAATCACCTTTCTTAATTTTTTTTCCCTCTTAACTGTATATATAAACCTTTACTCTAATTTTATACCTGTAATTTGAAACATATCTACCCCATAATGCATTTCTATTAAATTACACAAGAAATGCTCTTACATAATGAGTGTATTTGAAAGTTTTTTTTTTAAATTAATCTATATACTTACCATTGTCATTCACCCCTAGATACAAAGTACCCTCCTCTCCGCTGTTCAGAAAAGCACACACATACTTTGAAACGTGTTTTTTCATTACATTTTTAACATATTCTCCTCCACCTTTTTTGAATTCCTTATTTCTAGTTTCATTGCCAAGTTGTTCTCCATCTAAGTATATCCCAAGAGCAGGCTGGTCAATTTTCTTTGTTAAACCTAAGAAGTTCTTTCCACTCTTTAAGGAGGGTAGGCTAGTGTAATCATTCTCTTGAAGCGGCTTTTCTCGAGTTAAGTCCTCTGGGTAATATTCATCAAATTGCTCTGTAATATCAGGGGAGTCATTACCCTTTGGTTTTCTCTTCTTTCTTCTTGATTTCTTGTTTTTGTGTTTTGTTTCACGTTTGTAGTCGATCAACAAAGGCTGAGATCCTTCACAAATGGAAGTAAAATTAAAGCGAGTGTGTCTCCTAGACTCCCATGTCTCCAGCTGATCAAGGACAAATTCTGCTTGGTGTTCCTCGTGACAATTTACAAAAGCATACCAGGAACCTTTCCCATGATTCGTGTGTATAAAGATATCATCAAGGGTAATTCCGATACCCAAGTAGTGTCTGAATAGATTTAGGATGTTATCTTTGAGGTTCTTCAGGCCTGTGTCACTGCGAAGATTTCCTAGATACACCACTCTATAGTTGATCAATGCCATGGTAAATGACAGATGATTTCACTATGATCATCACTGTGTCCCTAGAACTATAAGTGAAAGATCCATGCTACATAAATGAGGAGTCATTTGAGAGAATGGTCAATTTCAAATCCAAAAATTTTACATTATTTTGTACAAAACCACAAAATATTCTACATATATGCACTCTAAAACTATATTTCTTTGCAAGCTGTCTAGAAGGATGGAAGATTTAAATTGTAAAAGTTTGTTGCTTGAAGTTACCATAAATGTATTTGGTGTGTATGACATTGGACAGAAATTGTTTTTTCAACAAATAAGCATAGATTTGATTTAGCACTTTCTGAATGTGCTTTATATGTCAATGAATATACAGTTGAACTTTGGTATCTCGAACACGGATATCTCGAATACCATGTATAAGTTGAAGTCATTTTGAAGTCCCAATCGCTTATTTCTTTTCTAAATTACGAATCAATCCCCCCCCCCCCCCCAAATAAATATAGTAAAGTTTTACTCTTCTTCGTCTGTTGTGAATTAAACATTGAAGTATATTTTTTATGGCAATAATATACATTTATACAACTTAATTATATACATGTATTTATAAATAAATTATAATGCGGCGTATTTAGCTTGAAATAATTTTATATTACGTGCTATGTGTACTTATAAAAACATACTACATGTATATCACCATAATAAGATAATTTGTTGAAATCCCGAAAAATTTAAAGTCCCGAACCGTCTTTACCCAAGTCCCGAACTGTCTTGTCGCTAGTCCCGAAACGTCGTATTAGTCAGGTCCCGAAACGTCGGGGTCCCGAAACATCGTGCACCCGACATATTCATGCTCATCCACGCGAGTTCACATGGAAAATCACAGTCCTATTCGAAAAGAATCTTAAGGGAAAGTTATTTAATAGAAATGTATAAATATATTAGTTGATGATTTTGATACCCTGCAAAAGGTACATAATGTACACAAAAAAGAATGAAAACTTCAAATGAAAGAAACCCACAGCTAAAAGACAGAATTGCAAAAGAAATCAATTGCATCATGTATAGGAAAGTTGATGAAAAATATATTTTATGATAGAGTGTGTATAATAGCTACAAAAAAATCCCTTGCTAATGCAGCAGTGGTTGGAGCATGGGATTCAAGGAAAACATCAAATTAAGGGACATATAAAAATACATATTTAAGGGACGTATATAAATACATAATTATTTAAGAATGGTGTGAATCCAAGTCAGTTCTGTTAGGCTGTGTGTGCGGTTTTTTTTTTTAATTTCTTGTCATGCTAAATTAAATGTTTAAACCAAAAAACTATCGCAGAAACAATGATTTTACTAGCAGTGTTTAAAACTGTTACTAGAAATTAAAAAAAAAAGAATAAACTCACCATTGAAAAAAAGAGAAAGGGTTTTCATGCTTCACGCATTGTAAACAAGGAAGTCCAATGTAAACATTGTAGATGCGCGGTGAATAAATTGTGACTAGTAGGCCTATGTTTATTAAAAAAAACAATAACTGAAGAAATATTTTATACTTCATATTAAGGTTTAATTTTTATAACTTTTATATTATCATGATTATACAATATTTTAAAAAGAGCATATTGTGGATCTTACACGAACCAGTTCATGTACGAAATATCACACATCTGTCAGAGCGGAAGTGGCTTTTGTACTGACAGCTGTCTTGGTATGACACGTAGATTTTTGCTATTTTAGAGCAATATTTTCGTTGATGAACACTTGAGTTTCTTTTTAATACGTAGATTTGGTATATTCAAAGGCGTTTCTTCAATGGAGTCCTTATATACCAACACAAACAAACTTATTCAGGAGGTACAAAGTGATCTTGGGAAATTGGCCAGGTTTACAGATAAAGATGGGGTTCATCTTTTTGAGAATGAAATTCAAGCAAAAATTGACATCATTGTTAGTAACTGTGAGCGACTTACCATTCTAGTCAACAAAGAACCTCCCACAAGGAGAGCCAATGCCAAACTGAGAGCCGACCAGCTGAAGTATGACTGTCAACACATCCAGTCTGGACTTCGGCAACTACAACAGAAAAGGTAAAACTCCTGTTTCTGTTAGTTTCATTTCTTAATTTACACAACAGAAGGTGTAATTACTGTTTTTATAGATAAATTGCAAGTAATTATTTGAACTTAGTCAGAATCAATATTTATCTATTGACTAACCGTATTTTGGGACGAGCACACATTGTATAATCCATTGCAATAATATGCAATATTTCAAACCTTGGAATGGATTTATTGCCATTTGTTCCTATCAAACTTTATCCTTTTTTACAAGGCATATGTTGGAGCAACAAGAACTAGATAGAGAGGAGTTGATGTCAAGGACCTTTACGGCTAATGATCAAGACACCTCAATTGAAATAGACCATGCTGTTCAGCATCATGACAGACTAGCGTTTTCTAACAGGGAAGTGGACAACATGATTTCATCAGGCCATGGAGTTCTTGAAAACTTGAGGTCTCAACGCTTAACACTGAAAGGGGCACAAAGAAAAATTCTGGATTTAGCCAACACACTCGGACTATCGAATACAGTCATGAGACTTATTGAGAGGAGAACATACCAGGATAAATTCATATTATATGGTGGAATGATTTTGACTTTGATTATTATGTTTCTCATTTGGAAATATTTTTCATGATTAAAATGGTTAATTTCTTATTGTTGTATTTTGTGTTTAAATGATATATTGATTTTATTGACACTGGTGATGTGCATTTTAAAATTATTTTTATAATTATGTGAAGTCTACATGAATTTTGTGATAAAGGAAGTTTTATCACATACTTGGCCAAAGTTCAAAAGCTTCTAATGTGCTTAAAATGATCTCATTTTCCCTAAGCTTTAAAAGCAAATTAATTTATTATTCTGTGTTAAATTTCACTGCTTTGTAACTACTTTAGGAATGGGCAATAAAACCCATCTATTACACTAGTGAAATTGATATTTGTCTTTTGCATTACATGTTGAAAATTAACAATTTATATTATGCTAAAAAAGATTACATTGAATGTCAGAATATGATGATGGGAGAATTGACATTATTTACAAACATATGCATAAATTCATGAAGAAGACAAATTTTCAAACAACAAATACTTGTACTTAAAGGAGATTCATCAATAAATGAAAATTAAAGAAAAAATATTGTTTGATAATCCTCTGAATCAATATCACTAGAATTTAAGCTCACCTGTCATTTGTTGTCTAAGCTTTTCATATTTTTGACATTTTCTCTAGAACCATTGTGCCAGTTTCAAACAAATCTTGCACAAAACCTCATTGGTGGGCTTTTGAGTTTATTGAAATGACTGGTCACACCCTTTCAAGGGGAGATAATTAAAATAAAAAAGGTGAATATAACAAACAGTGTTTGATATCAAAAATCTTTTAAATAAAAGAAATTTGTGAACAGGGCATAAAACACAGACACCTTGATACTTCAGAAGTGGGTTCAGGTGCCTCTAGCTAGGAGGAGTAAGCATCCCCTGTAGATCAAATGACTGAACAGCTACTTGTCACAACTGGCCTTATAATTATGGTATGAAACGTGTCAGTCAATTAAAATGCAACCCATTGATTGGTTGTATATGCAAATAAGGTTGTTATAACAATCATAGAATTTTTCGAAATGCGGACTGTAGAAATCCCTGTAATATAACAACTTATTTGCCAGTAGGTTTGAGGTCCCAGGGTGGGGCCTAGTTTGTTATGTATTAAAAATGCTTTACATTCACACATAACTTTTTGTATACTCTAAGTCAACTGGCTAATTGCATAAATGATTGTAATGAACAGTTATCAGTTTACCAACATTGTGAAATTTGTCCCTGTGTCCAGGGATCAGGCCTAGGGTGGGGGTATAAGTAGTCATCCTCACAGTGAGTCCACTCATGGTTTTGGGACCCCTGACAAACTTCATTAATTTTTTACAGCTTCTCTCATGGAGAAGCACAAATCAAATGGGGGCCTTCATAAGTTGATATAAGATGTGAACAGAAAGTATAAGCAGTTGACACCTTTTGTTTGTAGTCGAAAGGTTTAATGTCATTTGTCAAGGTATATAAAATTTATATTCTTTAGAATTTAACAAAATGGGAAATGATATCAGCTATAGATATCAAAATGTAACATAGGCATAATATGTCAGGAATTCATGTTTTAGGTGCTTAACAAAAATCATAATATTATAGATGTGTTTGGGGTATTAGGCCTACATCATCCATGTGTCACGTGCCTGTATAAAACATAAATCATTAAATATTTTGTAATCCTATATAAGTATGAATTACGATGTAAAATACAGAGATTTTCTTCTGTCACTCAGAGTATTTCCCCTTTACAAGATTTAAATTTCCCGCATTTTCATAACAAAAAAATCAACCACTCAGAGCGCGCCGATAAAGTCGGTGCGATTCTAAAAATGCCATTCATCGACTTCCGTTTTGTTGCTACCTACGCGAATGGAGACACCTGAATGATGCTCTTTTTCGCGTTTATCTATCAAAAATTAACATTCAAAAGGTTTGGGGAAAATCACGAGGTAAGTATATCATAATTAGTTCAAATATTTTCTTGTTCAATTATTTTATTTGATACAAAATTCAAATAAATAGCCAATATATACATGAATTTTTATCCGAATTTTCTCGCTATATATATAGATATTTGTGTTATGTAAATTTAATTACAGAACCGAATAAATTAAATACATTCACTGGATCATGGCCACAGAAACAGCAAGTGAGACACTAAAGCAACAATTTTTACTGCTGCAAGAACAGCAACAACAAAAACTGTTAAGACGTAAACAAAGAAAAGAAGAGAAAGAGAAGGAGAAATCAAGCCTCACTAGTAGAACAAGCTCATCGGTAGCATTTGGGGTAGAAGATAACTTAGACCTTAAGGTATACAGATGATAAGTCTATAAACTCTGTAAGAAATAATTGTACTTTGCAATAAATTCATTTAATAGAAATCTCATCCTACAAAATGCAGGACCATTATATTCTCCCTCACTCTGGTTGTCTGAATATAAATTAATTATACTTTAATGTTAACAAAAGACTTTGTATAAGAATGATGCTTGATTTGTTTATTTATTTTCAGTAACATTTATTACAGCATTCATTCAAACGAAATAAAATGACATGTGTATCCAGCTATTATCAGTGCAATTTATCATAGCGCTTGATCATTCAAATAGCATATAGAGACATATGTATCCAACTACTCATATATTAATAAACAAATAATAATTTGGCATGATGAACAATCTTGTAAACTTTAGTTCTAGTGAGTAGTTGAATGACTTGAACAGCACAGACTTACTATGTATATCATCTATCAGTCACAAAAACCATAATAAAAGTAAAAACTTGTCCAAGCATATTATAATTAATAATGTTCATATTGGGATCCATATAACCAATTTTTTTAAAATTATTATTATTATTTCAAATTCATAACTTTTATCTCAGCATTAAACTTATTATTTATATTTATTATTATTTTTTAAAATAAAAATCTAATGATAGCAGCTGCTTACACATGACTAGAGGAAGTAGGGGTGCCTTTATTTTATCTTATAAATATTTAAATGAACAGCAATAAACAAAACAGTCTGAATTTTAGGACTTGAACTCATAAAATAGTAATAGATCTAGTTAATGAAGTTAACATATTTTGGGTGTGTACAAGTTGTTATTTACACCATCATTTTGTTTCTCTTTGTGAACAAAAAAAAAAAAAAAACAAAACAAAACAAAACTATTTTCAATGACTCCATTGACAGCATACTGCAACATCTAGGGCATTGTCAAATCACCAGTTACAAGTTCAACTCAACCTTGACACACAATAAATTATAATTATGTCCTTATAATGAAAAGTAAAGAAGAGTATCAGTCATTTTAAAAGTTATCAAATGAAATATTCATAAATTATAATAATTATCAGCTTAGGAATTGGAATTAAAATATTTTAGGCAGTACTTGTATTAAATTTTTAAAGTTGTGTGCCTTGTATTTTAAATTAACAATTAGCAATTAAAACCACAACACATTGTTTATTGGAAAGTGAGTTAATTTCTCCTGGATAAATATGGGGGAATTCAACAGGATTTTCACAAAAAATTAATTCAACTTCATTCATACAAGTAACCTTCGTGAACACATTTATGAAAAGTTAATGTTCACAGCAATTAATCGAAACGTCACCGTTTACACAATCATGAAATCATTTCACTCCTAGTAGGAAGCAATTTCAGTTGGGGGAACAGTTGAAAAGAAATTCCTTGACAAGAAAAAAAAAAGTAAGAAAAGAAAAGAAGAAAAGTTAGCCATCAGATGTTAGTGTTGAGGAGGCGAAACTGCTATAGCTCTATTTTCTATCTTATACATTAGCAAAATTGTTCCCCTTCTCCCAGAAAATCATTTTTTATCAACCCCTCTCTGGTTCCACTTCCTATTGCCATCATAATGGTCATTATTATGAAATATTTGAATGAATATTTTACATTTTCCAGTTAGCTGATCCCACTGCCAAATCTAGTTTTGTCTCAGAAGAGCTTGTGGACCACCTTAATGACCAAATTAGAGTAAGTATATACTGATATCTCTGTAAGTCATTTCAGTTTTATATAAACTGTACAGTTAGGGTGAATTCACCATGCATCGGACACCCTCGTACTTCAACAAGTTCTAGCGATATCGCTACCGATCGAATATTATCAAAACAGAGCTTAACATGTAATATGGGATTAAAATATAAATTTTTGACACAAATATATGCTATTTATTGAGAAAATATCACTAAAAACCGATTTTTTTTAAATGAGCCAGATTTCACCATGGATCGGACAATATTCACCATGCATCGGACAAACGGTTTTTTGAACCAGAAAAATGTCATAGCTTTATCTCGGTGGTTTAAAATTAGTGATCTTGAAAATTTTTTATCTTTTATTTAAATATTAACCTTCTAGTTATGTTCCCCAAACGAAGTTTGGGAACATATTGTTTTTACTCTGTTTCTTATTATTATTATTAAGGTCTTCCGTTTTCACGGAAGACCTTATAGTGATTCTACTGTTTCTTATTATTATTATTCTTCTTCTTATTATTATTATTTTTTTGACCAAATTTTGTGCAGGCGTTTTCTCGAAAGCTATTCATTGGTTCTCCGTGAAACTTTCAGAAAAAATTGGTCATTGTATGAACTTGTTTCATCACAAGAAAAATTTGGAAAATTCCATTTTGGTTCCAAGTTACGGGCAATTTCCTGATTTTAAAATGAGATTTTGTCGCCCCTTTTTTTCAAGAATGGCTAAAGATATGAACTGGAGACTTATTGGAGAGCATAGAACGTGACTTCTAAATTTGCAGAATCGCATTTTCGTTCGTCGTCGGCACTTCCGGTCGTTTACGGAAGTGATCAAAGATATCGTAAAATTTCAACTTTCTTTTTTTAAATCAATACTTAATCACATTATTGCACCTCTTTTGTAGTTTCGAAATATGTTGGTCCCACCGGAAACAAAAACGTCAACTTCCGGTTATAAGAGAAAAACTACATAATTTGAGTATTTTTCTTTCCCATTAATATCCTTTGAAGATAAAGTATTTGAAATGAATTTTAAATATGTTATTTAGACTGCAAATATCTAGAGTAATGTCAAATATCTTTGAAAAATTCACTTCCGGTCGCGTGATTTCCTGTCCTCAAAATGAGAAGTTGTGTGAGCAAGATCTCGGAAACGGTAAGAGATTATGACACCAAACTTTTATGAGCAACAGATCTTAAGATGTAGGCAAAACCATTTGGGTTAAGAGCGTCAGTCGTCACTTCCGGTCGTCACAGGAAATGATCAAAGAAAACGGGAATTTCAAGTTTTCTTTTTTTAATTAAAAATTGCATCACTTTATTGCATCTTTTTCGCAGATTGAAAGATGTTCGTCCCACCGGAAACAAATACGACAACTTCCAGTTAGATGAGAAAAACTAAATAATTTGAGTTTTTTTTAATTTCTTGTAAATATTCTTTATAGATAAAGTATTTGAAATGAATTTTAAATGTGCTATTCAGAGTGCAAATGTCTAGAGTAACCTTAAATATTTTTTCAAAAATTCACTTCCGGTCGCGTGTTGTTCTGTCCTCAAAATGAGAAGTTGTCTGAGCGAGATCTCAAAAACAGGTAAAAGATTAAAACACTAAAATTTTAAGAGTAATGGACGTTGAGGGGTAGGTGAAACCATTTGGGTTAAACGCGTCAGTCGTCACTTCCGCTTCTCACAGGAAGTGATCAAAGAAATCAAAAATTTTAACTTTTCTTTTTTAAATTAAAACTTACATGACTCTATTGCATCTCTTTTGCTGTTTTGAAATATGTTAGATTCCACTGGAAACAAAAACGTCAACTTCCGGTTTTAGGAGATAAACTACGGTTTTAGGAGATAAACTACGTTATTCTTATGTTTAACTTTCTCATAGATATCGCTTATCGATGAAGTACCTGAAATGATTTTATGCATGTTGTAGATATTGCAAATGTCTAGAGAACAGTCAGAGATTTTTATAAAATTCACTTTCGGTTGTGTGTTTACCTGTTCTCAAAATTAGAATTTAGTCCCACAATATTGTTCGGCAACAGTAAACGACTGAGGACTAAAACTTTCAAGACTGATGGTCAGTCATCAGTTATATGAATCGTGAGAAAATCTTGCATCGCCGTTACTTCCGGTCATGAAAGGAAGTGATGTAAAAAAGTGAATGGTTAATGGTTAGCACGTTGGATTTTCACGCTGGCGATTAGGATTAAATCTCCAGAGTGTCTGAATTTCTTTTATCACTTTTTCAGCTTGAATTTTCGTTTTTTATTTTCAGAATCGGACGGAAGACCTCTCATTGCTCGCAATGAGTTTCTAGTTATTAAGTCTTCCGTTCACAACGGAAGACTTATAGTGATTGTATTGTTTCTTTTTATTATTAAGTCTTCCGTTCACAACGGAAGACTTATAGTGATTGTATTGTTTCTTTTTATTATTATTATTATTATTATTATTCCTCCCAAATTTTGTGAGCGCGATTACTCAGAGATGGTTGGATAGATTTTCACAATTTTTCACATGATAGTAGGCTGATATATGAAGTTTATATAAAATTCCGTTTTTTGAAAAATTCACTTCCGGACCGAAGTTACGGCCGAATTTCCAATTTTTAAATGGACTTTTGTCCGGAATTTTTCTCGAAAACGGTTTGAGGTAAAGATGTGAAATATACAGGGGTATTAGATCATGACATTCTCTTTGTTTCGAAGTTGTTTTCGTGTGTTTCCGGTACTTCCTGTCCGAACCGGAAGTGAACTTGTGTTTGGTCAATTTTCAACTTTTTTGTTTTTTAATATTTTTTCAAGATATTATTATGTATAACAGAGGTTATTCTACAAATACTAAATATATAATTTGTTTTGAAATCAGATTCCACATTTTGCAGATTTTCGGTACCCTCATTTTCCCTATTTACCTAGTGTGTAGACAATGGGCAAAGAAAGATAACTCTGACTTGTAAGTGAGAATAGAACTTTCGAGATAAAGGCGGAAATAGTATCGATGACGTTAGAGACATATACACTCTCCATATCAAAATATTTAGACGTGCTATATTCACTCCTCAAAATTTAAGAGGACGTTGGTTACCGCTTCCAGTGCATGTAAAGTTTGAAGTTGCCAGTGTAGTGTAAGTCTGTATTGACAGTTAGTTAATTTACACATGAATATATCTAAAAAAAATTAATATATATATATATGCTAGGTAGCTAATTCAAGTAAATATATTATAAGCACTGAATATACATTTATAGTGATGGACAGGCATGCAGTTTTATCTATTTCGTATATTAAGTTCAGAATACGATAGTTATAAGCCTTCTATAATGCAGACGATTTATTATTCTTTATGATCTGAATGCGAAATTATCCCGATTTCCGAGTTTTACTTTCGATATTAAAAAATATTACATACACTCAAAAAAGGAATTAAGCGATAGAAAATTGTAATACAGTACTGTTTTAAAGCCTTTATAAATAAATTGATATCTGCCACTGAAAAGAAAGAAAATCAATCTATAGATTAGATTTGGTTATTACATATATATTTGATAAAAGGTTAAATTATTTATGACACATGATCTATACTCTATATACCCAAGTAATTATAAAAGATGTGAAAAGGCGATTCTTGGATTCTTGTGAAATACTCAAAGAGTTAAAGAGTGTGTGAAATAATGGTACGCTATATGTTTCTTTTGGAAAAAAAAACATGATAAAAAAATTGTACAAGTCTGTTGATATGTGGGATAAGTATATCTGAATGAACACAATTTTATGCAATGATATATAATCATGTACATGCAACTGACGTCCGTACTTTTCCTTGTAATTCATAAAATTATCTAATTCCTTTGAAGCCCCCCCTCCCCCCCGTCTTGAATTTGAATCATATATTCGTTTTAGATTTAAATCTGGAACATGTGAATAACATTACCATTTACATGTATACAGAATTTCATATTTTATAATTATGAAATGTTCAATTTACATGTCTGAGAGAGAGAGAGAGAGAGAGAGAGGAGAGATTCCCTCTTAATCCCGATCCAGACCAAAAATTAGTTCTTTATCGGTCACACCCATTCTTTATTAGATGTTTTCTGATTTCATAGTCAGTCATGGTCACATCCTGTATATTTTTCAGCTTAAAAAGTATCACACGAAGTGCACGTGTGTTGACCTGTCAATCAAAATCACTTGACGCTGTATGTACTGCAATTAAGTAGCCTGAGTTCGAAATGATCTTGAAGTATGATCTTTAAGTAAATCTGCTGCAACAAACTTGTGAAAAAAAATAGAATAAAATAAAAAATAAAATATCTCGGTATTATGAACTTCGACTGTGGGACGTGGAGACCGGTCCTTTGGATGAGATCGTATAAATCGAGGTCCCTTGTCGCAGAAGATGCTGGCATAAAAAAGATTCCCCACTGCTCAATTGCAATAAATGCCAAAGTATAGGACAAAAATTTACAGTCTCCACCGGCGAGTGGTGGCGTCTCCATGTGAGTGAAAAATTCTGGAGAGGGACGTTAAACAACATACGTATAATCAATCAATCAATCAATCAATCAATCAATCGATTGCTGAAGAATTACTGTAATTGAATAATTTGTCTTATAGGTATGTTGTCAAATCTTGATATTATAACTTTACAAAACTCAGTGACTTTACGTTTAATGTGATACTAAATTAATTCATTATATTTTTTTATAACACCATCACAATTATGCCAAAACATACACACAGTGAAGTTTATGATAGTACGGTGTTCGTTCGTCTGTTTGTTTGTCTTAGAAATGATTGCAAACATTTTTTTTTTAAATTGCTAATGATATACGGATATCTCTTATAGGTGCCAAATGTATTATACAAGATTGATAATGAAAATCAAAGTACCTTAAGTACTGAAAGGACTTTTTTCCAATTATTTTTTTCTTTCACAGTAAATATGATATGTATGTTTTTTACACAGAAAAAAGCAAATTCTTA